AAGGCTCGCACTTCATCTCATCATTCCCTGTCTGATGGTTTGACTTAGCAGCTTGTCCAAATTATAAAACTATGTTATGTAAGTTTGTTATTTCAGACCAAACTGCGTATCGTAAAATAGTGGTACCTATGTAGTGAAAATAAGACATGCGGAGTTGAAAAAGAAAAAATTCAGCATGCGACAAAATAGCCATATCAATACAGTGAAGATCATTGCGAAGTCTGCACGTGTGAAATCATCTTACATATGTAATGAAGATCATTGTGGGCTAATATGAAGTCCACACGTGTAAAATCATATTATACATGTAGTGAAGATCATTGTAGGCTAATATGAAGTAAGTCCACACGTGTAAAATCATATTATACATGTAGTGAAGATCATTGTAGGCTAATATGAAGTAAGTCCACACGTGTAAAATCATATCATACATGTAGTGAAGATAACTGTGGACTAATATGAAGTAAGTCCACACGTGTTAAATCATATTATACATGTAGTGAAGATCATTGTAGGCTAATATGAAGTAAGTCCACACGTGTAAAATCATATTACAAATGCAGTGAAGATCATTGTGGACTAATATGAAGTAATAGCACACGTGTAAAATCATACATGTAGTAAAGATAGAAAGTAACGGATAAAATGCAAAATATTGTTCCTGTCTTTCATGGTAGCACAGTTGCAGCATCTACCCATAACTCCGGGTTCCAAGCACAACAAAATACCTTTTTGTAACCAGTGAACATACAATCAGATGTGCACAGCACTTGATGGAAACCATATAGGGATTGAGGGACACGACGAAAAGAAGATGGTAGCTAAGTAAATACACTGTGATTTCCTGCTGGAAAGAGGTAAAGAGTGACAACATGTATTTACTGGTCTTTCTACTCAAATTGTTTACACTTATTTGGGGATACTAGTGTTGGTATGTATACCTATAGATGACGACATTATATGTTGAGTAATATAAGTTTTTTAAATTTTAAAATTGTTCTCCTACTGTGTTTAAATCCCATACCAACTAAAATCCATATGTTAGTATGTTGTACACCTACAATTATTTGCATACTTAGGCATGGTGAACATTTTTTAAAAATCGCAGTAGCTTAAAAATACAAGTGGATTTGATCCCCTATTTCACAGAATAAGAGAAGTAATAATGATGAAATATGCTGCTGACATGAATACAAAGAATAGTTTGTAATCTCAGGAGGGGTTACTTGGGCAACCATTATTTTTTAGTCTTGGGAAATGATTATTAGAAGCAAATTTCTTTTTCGAAGGAATTGTTTGTGAACTCAGCAGAGTATTACTTGCACAAGTTACCATTTCAATGAAAGTTTTGGCTTTGTAAGGGATTACTGAAGGCAAGTTACTATTTCATTGAATAGTTTGTAGTCTTAAGAGTGACTGAAAATTAAGTTCATAAGTACATGCTCGCTTTAATAAAAAACGACTTTGTATATAACGAAACAGTTTTTTGAAACGTTTTAGTTTGTGCCACTATTACTTTAAAAAAATGTTATAATAGTCAACTGGTTTAATTTGTTTATTAAAGATATCCCTATGCATATAATTCGAGGCTAGAAACACATACAAACTAGGCAAATGATAAAAGCTGTTACCTTCATCAGAGTTATCACACTTGTATAATTTTGTAGGTGTAAATGGTTATTGGGCCAAATGTAATGTCTACAGCTAACTTTGAATTTAGAATTAATATCCAGTTATTGTCATCGTTCGAAATTTTATTTGAATTTTTCCTGGTTGCTATTGATTTATGTTTTTATTAAACATTTTCGATTGTAATCCTTTCCTGGCTAGTCACTGGTTCCCTAGTCTTTAATTTTTTTTCAGTATGAGTATTCTTGATTCAGCCTTTAAAGGCCTTGGGCTTTTGTTTCAGGGAGAATGATTGTAAAGTAATTTTTGTATATATATATAAATGACATATTACCTTACGCGCTTCTGTGTCTCCTATTCTATCAAGTATATTCGATGTACATCTGTTAATGATAAAATGCATCCCGTTTTCATTTGAAAATTGCAGCTTTCCCAATCAGTGGAATATTCGGCAGTTGATTTGTATAGTTAAGTCTGTACTTATCCAGCTCTGCAAAGCGAAGCGAAGTAGAGCTTAGTATAAAAATTGGGGTACAGGCGTTCTTCACATATGCGGTAACTATCCAATAACAAGGAAAACGTTCTGTTTAAAGAAGTCGAGCAATCAAAACCAAATATTTAACAGTCCAAAATCAAACCAAATTCATATTAACCTTTCCCATATATTTGAAAAATAAAAATATTTTATATAATAACCCCTATATCGTTATTGCAATAGCTACTGGAAATAGTTGAGTTTGAATAAAACACACACCACAACAAAATTCTTCAAGTCAAAGATTGTGATTATAAATAAAATTTTAAGCACTTTGGTTTGTTTAACATAATAACCAAAATATACAGTAATAAAATATCCAGCTACAATGCGATCTTCTTTCGCGCCTTTCTTCATTGGGATTTAGGTCAGAAAACCTAGAAAGGTCAGGTTCAACTTGACCTCTTCCTCCCTCCTTGACTATTACTTTAATTTATGCTTGATGCGGAGAATAAATATACTGCTGCTGTTTACGTTTTCCGCTCTTTTCTGATTCACATCATTTAACTTCCTGTTTATAGTAGGGTTAAAATAAACGCTTAAGCCTGAATTAGAGATGTATTTCGTAATTAAAATATTTCTTACTTCTTGATGTAGAACACAGTTTTCCATAGAAGCAAAGATTATCATTAAATTTAATGCATTAATATACGAAATTCAGACAGTAGAAATCTTGACCACATCTTTACTGTAAAATGGGCTGCTTTGAAGAAGAAGTGACGCAGCTGCTTTGTCATTTCTGCCAGGTTTCTTGACTCGACTTCTACAACTCCCCGATTCCGATCTACTTCCCTTGTCTTACAACCATTTTCTTGGAGAATGAATGCTACTGTAAAATCCTTCCAGAGATTTTGTGCGTGTTTTCCGTGTTTTCAAGAGAAAAATACAGAAGAGTGCGGTCTCCTTAAAATAACCTTCAAAACTTTTACAAGAGCTTTAGAAATAAAGCCCATTATGGACTGAGAGTTCACTTTTTCTTGTAGACTTTAACTGGATCTGTCAGGCTTTCACCAAGGGCAGTGTTGGGTATGTAATTTGCCACTCAAAATATTAGCCAACTTGCACATCTACTTAATTAAAAGTTGAATATCATTAGTTAATATGATATATCAGTATATGATAGCATTTCACACAATGCTTTCTTCTGGAACCCCTGGTAAAACAATATAACCTCTCAGAACGTACGATGTAGAGGCAAGAATATTAACAGACCAAATTGGACATATTTTAAGGGTCATAAACACGTAGTTTTCAATGTTTTTGCTAAAGTTATGTAAACTTTAAAACTTTGCAGAAACATTAACAATCAGCCTGAAATTATAGAGTACTTCACTATGTTGAAGGTCACTGATCATCATCTGCGTATACACGTTTGTACTAATGGATACGAGGTCAGGAGTCACACAGTAAATATGATCAGAAATATAGCTTTGTTACTGTACTTCCAATATTTTGAGGTAAATAACATAAACGACTTTATCCACGCAGTGTTTAGAGGTAAAACAAGTATACGCTTCCAATCAAATAAAAAAGCACGCTATTCGTTATACACAGGATATTGTTTCATCATGCAACAACACTATTGAAGTGGTTCTCATAATGTGGTTCGCGTCCCGTTGACTGGTCCAAAATGCAAGTCAGATCTAAAGTAGCGTCATTCTTCCCATTAATTCTGATGAGTTTTTTCTTTTTCAGTGGTCAGCGAAAGCGGATGGGGGTACGACTGGTAGGTGGTCCACGAGGTCTTTAGCCCCGCCGAAGTGGTCTACTGGCGAAAAAGTTTGAGAACCATTGTACTATTGGATATTAATGTGCTGTTTGACTGATAGTATGTATAAAGAAGTCAAAAATTCTTGTTGCTGAAGGGCATTATAGATCAAACCGCAATTGACAGTGATCATTCACTAAACATTGTTTATAGATCAAACCGCAACTGACAGTGATCATTCACTAAACAATGTTTATAGATCAAACCGCAACTGACAGTGATCATTCACTAAACAATGTATTTTTTGTTGTTGTTTTTTCACACTCCATCCAACTACTGTGTCAAATCATATCATTAATGATCAGTGATTTAATATTTAGTTACTGTCATTTATGTGGGGTTAAATATCGTGTTCAAGGATAGGATATTCATGTAAAATTTATTTCCAAAAAGGTTATTTGAATTATAATTTTTAATGATGTTTGCTACAAAGCAAAACCGCGTTGGGCTATCTGCTGAATCCCGGATTTTAGCGTTGTAAGTCTGTAAACTTACCGTTGTCCCACTGGGGAATGTTTTAATGACGATCTTTCTTGAATAAGTCACTAAACTGTGTATCTTATATTTCAACGTTATGCTTTAGTTGTTTCCTGGTATTAGCGCAAACCTCCTGGCGACTAATTTTAAACTGGTAAACTACGGAGAAGGCAGCTAGTAAATAGTACCCACTGTTTGATGAATATTGGGATTTGACTATACACTTATAACGCTCACAAGGCCCCAAAGTGCGGAACACAAGAGTTTGTTTGTGGTAACTGGGCGCGGACAATGGAACCGCAGTTCTAAGTATTTATAATTATTATTTTTTGTTCCTTGACGTATTATTAGAATATCGGGCTTATTTTAATGAAAACTTCATAAAATTAAAATGGCGGGTAATGCAATTTTTACAGTGTTATGTGACGTTGTCCTCCAGTGGATCAACGGTAAATTTACAGATTTAGAATACTAAAATCCGGGGCTCGATTCCCCAGAGTGGACAGCCCGCAGGTAGCCCATTGTGTAGCTTTGCTCTAAGAAAACAACTAAAACTACGTGATGTTATTATAAACATAAAGATCATACACATTTTCCGTAAAAATTGACTTTATTGCAAAGCATTTCGTCAATTTAAAAAATAACGAAAAAACAACAAAAACTTTTTGCTTCCATCGTTGTCGTTTTAAGTTCACTTAGCGGAAACCACTTGATGTCAGTGTAGCTTTTAACTTAATACATCCGAGTTCTTTGTCAGTGTTTACGTCACGAATTCTTCCTTCAACCTTGTACCGTCCCTTTAAAAATTGAATAATAAAACAGAAACTAACTTGAAAGTTTCTGCAGCTGTTCTTCATAAATAATAATATTATAATTATATTTTTATTCAACGTAATATAATATTAGCTAATATTTATACTTTAGACGTTACAAATTGCCTGTAAATTTAAGGCCACTTTATTGAATAAGAAAAGCATGGTTTATATTGCAACAATATTATATTTTTATCTACTTATTAATTCTAGCCCTAATATCTACACATATTACATTGAAGTAGTAATGTTAAAGCTGGAATATTCTTATTCTGCTGCGAAGGCCAGTTAATTTAATTTTAAAGTATATAACATAAAATTTTGTAAAAGCTGATTATATATATGGGGCCACAATGTTGCCCCACTTCGATACGGAAAAGCAGTAGTCTTGAAATAATAGAACAAATAGCCTTATTAAATGAATGTGAATAAAATACGAATCAAACACTTAGGGCTTTGAAAGCAGAACTTACAGCTGCCAACATGGACAAGAAGGAGCCCACGTCAGGGAGAGACATTGGCTCGTCTTCACCTTCGTACGTGTTGGGAAGAATTGGACACTCACAAGGAACCCCTTCAGGGAAATATCCACAAATTCGTTCCTTGTTTCCCAGCATTAACTTGCACAAGTCGTATTTGCTGAAGTGATAAGATTAGTAGCAGAAGATATGAGGAAATAGCTGGATACTATTGTGATTTACATATCACTGAATCGTTAAATCATATTTTTCCTCAGTAAAAACTTAAAATTGTTCAATCTACTTCTTAATCATTTATGGTGAACAAAATTGATTGCAAATGGAAATTTGTGTTGTTTGAAATGTCAGTTGTGGGACTGGTTATATATTTATATATTAAGTAAAACAATTTCTATTTGATTACCTTTGAACTTAAATTATAAAGGTGATATGAATAAAGATAGGGAATAAAAGTTGATACTATGATCGAAAATATATATATTTGATTGATAATCTTTAGCTTCATTTTATATGGAAAACATAATATTTACTCACCATGAACCAAATCCAGATATGCAAGGCAATGGAATCGGGATGTCTGTAATAAACTTAATAATCCGAGTGAGCTTAAGGTCCACAATAGCATTATCAGGAATCGTATCAGTGACCATAATTCGTCCACTTGTTTTCACCACACCTGGGAATGGCACTGGAAGTGGACTTACATCTAGGCTTTCGAAGAATATGGTTTTGTCACTTGCACCTATATAAGAAAACCAGACCATAAACATATTATTAATGTGTCCTCTCCACGTCTCGCCTTCATAAAAAAACAAAAATAGATCTCAGAAAAAAAAATACATTTCGTAATATGTATAGTGGCACCCCCGTGGCACAGCGGTAAGATTGCGGACTGATAACACTAGAAAAAGGTTTCAATACTCGTGGTGAGAAGAGAACAGATAGCCCATTGCGCAGGTTTGTGCTAAACAACAAAATAGTAATGACTAAGATGATAGTTGGTATTTGAAGTAGGCTCCAGGATATAATCCTGCTATTTGTCAGTATTTCATATTTATTAACCCCCAGTGGCACAGCGGTATGTCTGCTGTCTTACAACACTATACCCGTGGTGGGCAGAGCACAGATAGCCCATTGTGTAGCTTTGTACTTAACTATAAACAAATCATATTTATATGTTCAAAATAATATTGATCCAACTGTAATATTTTGTTAACTCGTTTAACGTACAAAAAAATTAAAATTAACGTAATAATTTTAAAACTGTTCTGCTAAGCTTTGAGGTCAAAAGCAGTTCAAATGAACGACATTGTAGCGAAATTTACAGTAATTACAGAATACATGTATCTGTCTACAGGTTCATTGGATCATGAATCATATGTTACAAACATTTTAAACACAAAGCTTGTTAATAATAACTGGAAATTAACAATTTGGATTATTTATGTACGATATGAGCTCTAACGTATATTTCATGTTATAACTTACAAGGTTAACAAGTCCGAGTGCCAAAACCACCTGGAAAACTAGATAGCCTCAAAAGCTCTTTCAAAATGAACTATTGTAAATGTGTATACATAATCTATAATTACAAAAACATATTTGTTTTTATTCTATCGTTTGTACTCTAGGATACCGGCAGAATACACATGGTATATAAATACTACATATCTTACGTTCCCCATATATATATATATATATGCATTATGTACCAAATTCTTAGATTTTTCTAAGTTCTGTTTTTGGAACACTAAATTCGGTTGAAATTATATTGAAACTTGTAGCCTGAGGTGTTATCATCTGCGCTAGTAGTAAAGATGGAAATGTGTCATGATCTAAGGGATGAAGGGAAAGCACGTTATACTTATGGTCAATTCATTCAGTCTTATGTAGGTGTCCATGGCCTGTGCCTGAACAAGAGCTCAAATGTCCTCATAATAGGGCAGATAAGTAACAACAGCCTTGAGAAAATACAGGTGGTAAACGTTGTCAGATCCACTAATTTAAACTAGCAAGTCTTTGAGAAAGTCTGGCCACCGATTTGATAAAAAAAAACTGTCTGACTATTTCTTTATGTGTGGTGGTTGGTACAGTATCTACAAGGCCAAGTATGGCTTGGGATGTGTTTATCAAATTATACAGACACAGGGAAGGCCAGGTGGTTAAGGAGCTCGACTCGCAATCTGCGGTCGAGGTTCGAATCCCCGTCCCACTAAACATGCTCGCCCTTTCAGCCGTGGGGGCGTTATAATGTGACGGTAAATCTCACTAATCGTTGGTAAAAGAGTAGCCCAAGAGTTGGTGGTGGGTGGTGATGACTAGCTGCCTTTCCTCTTGTCTTACACTGCTAAATTAGACACAGGGTGGTTTTCAGTTCATACACGTTTGACTAAAATTATACTTGATCTTCTGGTTTATTCTTCACTGTCATATATGTATAACACAGCTCAAGTCAGTAACTACAGACCTTATTTTCAAAAACAGTAATCGGTTGATAGTATGTGTAGAAGCTCAACTCTACATCAGTATAGGTACCGTCACTAAACACATTAGAATTGTGATAACGGATCTCGGTTCAAGAGTTGGCATTTTAGGTTTATACCAAGTGAACTGTAACTCTGTGATGATACAATTTAAGACCAATCAAAATATGGTCAAGAGCCGTGGACTGCATGAATATATACAGACGATGTTGTTACAATTTTGTTTAACACACAACTAGTGTTTCGTTATGAACTAAGAATATAATATCAGCTAATTCTATGGTTGGAGCAATGCCTGAAATGCACCATTTTCTTACTAAAAACCATGCCGTTTCTGAGTAATTAGTTATATCACTGAGAACAAAATATACTCCAATTATGGTTTATAATTATGAAGGAAAAACTGTGGAAATACAAGCTGGGAAGATATTAAGTCTATGAAGGGAGGTTTCTGAAACTAGTACTTCAACTAGTATTACTTTAGCTGAACCACATTAAAAAATGAATATGGTATGAAGCACACCTGAGATCAAAGATTGTACAGATAATCTCAGCTCAGATCACAGCAAGAAGTTGGGAAGTGAGATTACTGTATTTGTCAGAATAGGTGACCAGCATGTAAGAACAAATCTGATCATGCATCATATCGACACCGTAGATGCACTTTTTATAAAGCAAACAACATGTAAACGTTTTTGGAGCACCAGGGATACAGCAAACACCAAGGTAGATCAGCTTCTTAAGAATGAAATCATCCAACCTTCAGAATGGGCTTGGACATTACAAGTAGCTACAGTAGGAAGAAAAGGATGTGACCGAGGTTCTTTGTGGATTACAGGTAGGTAAATGCAATGACATGTACCAACACACTTCTTTTACCACGCATACATTGAAAGGATTCGACTGGTTTTGTTCCCTATATTTCAAATTTGGCTACTGGCAAGTCAAACTGGGCAGTGAAAGTAGAGCTAAAACTGCTTTCAATATTCAGAAAAACCTATTTGAATTTCATGTGCTATTCGACCTCTTTAATGCATAAGCCACTTATTAGCAGCTGATGGAAGTCACATTACGTAGGTTACAGTGGGAAGAGTATCTTATTTACAACATATTTTATCATTTGGTCATACCATATAATATTCCAATGTTTTCGACAAGAAAGACTCAAACTGAAGCCAGGAAAATGTTCTTTCATGCAAATGCATGTGATGCTTCTCAGACATGTCGTAAGTAGAGATGGAGTGTCTACAAACTCTGGTAAATGGTACAAACAAGAAAGAAGTCTGGAGCTTCCTCATCTTTACATGCTATTGGAATCCAGTTTTACATGTGAACAACCATTTTTATTACTAAATTATTTATTTTTTGATGCTACAGTGTTAGCCTACCTAAAGAGAGGTTTTCCATTCATTCTGTATACAGAGAAGTATACATCAATACAAGATGGTGCAAGTCATGTTGTAGCATGCTTAAGCCATGCACTCATGCCTGCTGAATACTAATATTGTATGACAAAGAAAGAACATTTTGCAGTATTAGAATTCATTAAACCTCTGAATAGCTCAGCAGTAAGTCTGCGGACTTATAACGCTAAAAATTGGTTTCAGTACCTTTGGTGAACACAGCACAGATAGCCCAAAGTGTAGCTTTGTGCTTAACTACAAACAAAAACAAAACAAAACATTCATTAGAAATATTCCACACTATCTATATGACCACGAAATTATCATTTGAGTAGATCATGTGTCGTTTATTAAATGGCTGGTTAACTATAGGGAACTGGGAGGTATGATCACACCTTGGATGACAATGTTACAAGAGTAAAGATCTGAACCATTACAACAAACCATAGAAATGGCATGGATGCTTCTAGTGAAGAGATAATAAATATGACAAAAGTAAACTTGGTAAAAGATCCACACTGGGCTTTGATGTTACTCGCCGTGCAGAAAGGAGAAATGTGAACTACACAGGTTGGCAACTGTTTGTTCAATTGGAAGTACAGGAGGGAGAGCTATACATTTCACACAACCGTGGTACCTTGTTCTTGATGCATATAGTTGTTCTGAAAGCTTTAAAAGTATTAAATTCTATGAATCCTGCATCATACTAACATTGGGTACCGCCCGCACTAGAGTCAACACATGAAGACGGTTTACTGGCCACGTTCCTAAAAGGATGTAGAGCAATGGTGTAAACATTGTACTTCCAGTACACCTCAAAGAAAGAATGTTTTACACCCTGTGAAACTCCGTCAATGTGTTGGTTCTCAATTCCACAAAATAGCCCTGGATATTGCCAGACCTCTTCCTGAAAACCATCTTGATAATGGTTATATCCTGGTGGCAATCAATTACTTTACTAAGTAGACCAAGCAATATGCATTAACTGATATCTGAGCTTAAACTAACATGTTGGCTGAACAATGAATAGCTGGATTTAGAACACCAGAGGAGATCCATAGTGGGGAAAGAGTAAACTTTAACAATTAGCTATTTTCTGAGTTGTATTGGGTACTAGGTGTGTTGCAGACCCACGTTTCACCTTATTATTCTCAGATTAATGATTTGCTAAGAGGATTGTCCAAATTGTAAGGTGTGTACTTTTCATTTTCAGTACATACGTATAGGCGTTAAAACAATAAAGTTCGTTAGAGTTCTGATTATCACTGAGTTCTAGTGGTCAAGAGAGAGATTGACGATTCATACAATTGCCGGCAGGCCTGATGACAATGTAATATTGTTTCTCATGTGCAGCATGTTCGTTTTATCGAGGCTTCTGCTGCAACAATGTGATTGTAAGTTCCTTGCAACAGTGAGTTTCTTTTGTTTTGTTTTCTCGTGCTACTCGATAGAATGTCATGTGGGATGCTGTTCCCATGCCATGTGAGAAACAGGCGATTGATTTGCAGGGAGAACGGTACTCAAATGCTGTATATTGACGTATCTGCAGATGGTGTAGTTATAGTTTTAGGTTATTATGAAATGCCACCGAAACTGCTACAGCAGAATGCACTTTGGTTTAGATAATAAGTGTGAAATGTGCACAGTAGGCACTGGGAAACTTCAGTATAAAGTTTGAATGTTAACTTTTCCTTACATTGACATATGAACTATTGACTTCTCTCTTGGTAGATTGACTAGCAATGACATTATTACTTTTGATCTACATTTAAAATGAAACAATAGTTGGACGTTTCATTCGGGCTTTAACTTATATGCTGAGTAAAAGCAACGAATTCATCATTCACACTTTTAAGTTTTGAGAACTTAAATTCTTCAATGACAATCTCAGAAGGCATTCTAAGAGTGTCCAGAGCCTCCAGCGACGACCAACATTTCCTCGAGACCAACAACATGCCTAATGGGATGGCTAGGGTTCCAGAACCTAGCAACAGAACCTCCGACCATCATCTGAGAGGAATCTGACTCGAAGGCGGTGAGGTGCTGGTGATAACACTGCCAGATGGAGGTGATGAAGTGAGCAGCAGTTGGGAATTTAATTCTTCGGGAAGAAGATCGACAATTAAAGAGAGAGAATGGGGAAGTTCCAGAGTTATAGAGAAACTTCGCCAGGTTTAGGTTGCATTGGCTAAATCCCAGGAGAAGCTGACCTGGCCCAGAAGGGTGATTCAACAAATGACAAAATAACGGGAAGTCATCAGCAGCACTGGAGGATCTCACCAGTTTCTGGTGATCCTGTCGGAGCTCCTTGCTTTAAGTATGTATTTCTCTTCTTTTACCTACATTTATATACCATACATTTTTATATTCCCGCTTCCTTTAGTTTCCTTGTTAAGACATATATATATATGTATGTGTGTGTATTTATGTTTGTGAGCCTGATAGCGAGCATATGTATATATTATATATTTAGTCCTTTAAATTTTTGCTTCTTTAGGTAAATATATGCTTATTTATTAGTATCGTCGATGCTGTAGAGACCTTTTAAATGGTTATAATTTTTTGCGCTTTAAAGAGGTTTTTATGTTTCAAAATTATTTTCAAATGATTCATTTTATGCTCTAAAGGATAATGTATTTTATATTATGTATTTTAAAGAATTATGTTCTGTACTTCAAAGGTTTTGTTCCTTCTGTAATTTCTGCTTTAAAAGGTTTTATTTTATGAAATTTCAATATGATGTTTTATTATTATTATTATTATCATTTAATTTTATTTACTTAATAACTTGATTTGGCTCATATTATTTATAATTTATTTCTTTTTAATTTTGGGTTTGTAGTTCATATAGTAATTTAAGTGATATACCTTTTTGTTGTGTTTCCCCTTTTTCTGTACCTCTCCCGTTTTATATCTATTTTATTTGAGTTTGCTTTACTTGCCTTTTCATTTTATTTCAAACATGATGTAAATATTTCATTTAAAGGATGTTTATTATTTCATCTTGTATTTAACGGATTGAATTTGATTGGTATATTAATTAATTTGTATTTGAGTTTTATACAGGATTTTCTGTTGTATTTTTGCTTATTTTGTTATACATAATTCGTTAACTGGAGACAAGATAAGTACAACAATATAGTACGCAGATTTGTAGGATCTTGGAGCTAGGCTGACCTCTGAACTCTGACGTTACATTTGCAGGCAAAACAAAATAGTATGTACTGTAATACGGATACCTGATCATCAAAATATAATTAAGTCTGACATCAAGATATCAAGTAATTATTGTGTAAAGTAATAAACAAATTTAAGTATTCCATATGTAGGAAGTGTAATACTAGGGCAGTAAGATAAAGTAATTACTCTTAAAGTAATCCAACTTTTACTTCTAACACTACAGCAGATAGTTCAGTTTGGTAATTATTTTGCAGCATGATGTTTACCGAAAACAATTTAATACAAATATTGTACTATATTCTAAAATACAATCTAGAAACGTTATAACAAAACCTGGCTATGCTATTGTTAAAATCATGAAAGCCAAACAAATTATAGTGGCATTTAATCAACTGTCTTTAGGCGGTCTTACTGGCTAATAACAATTTTCCAGCTGATAACTGCTTTGCTTTTGTGTTTGGATAAATCAGGCTTCAGATACTACCAAGCAACTCACAACATTTTGCCAACTCATCCTTAAATTTATTAGTTATTTAACTGTTTCCAATATCAATAGATACTTTTTCATGTTTGTATATCGTTTTGCTTTTGGTTACACTAGCAATTGAACTTGTTTAGATATTTTAACATTTTGACATTGTATACATTATTTCTATTATGGAATGTCCCATGTACAATATTTAATGTATCAGTTTGACATCAATATATATTATTATTATTATTATTATGATAACTTATGTAGTTATTTGTCATATAATAAATTACGAATTGTAAGTTCCCTTTCACACTTTAATATATACACTTTAAAACTAGTGGATAAAATGTTTGCAAGTATAGTTAAAACAATATATTATAATTTAAAATGCACCGCGAGTAAAGAAACCCGCTTTTAGCCACTAACAAGTAAGAAAGGAAAAAAAACACTAAATGTTTTAACTTAAAACCCCCAAAGCATCATGACAACAAATTGCAAGCCTAGCCAAATTACAGACGTTTTAGAATGTACAATTATAATTATAAGTAATAACTGAAGAGTGGATTATATATATAATATTTCGGTGTAAAGGCTAAAATATGCTAATTGCAAATTAAATTATTTATTCTTTTTAGAAATTAGAAAAGGGATATACAGATTAAATCAAGTAAAACATGACCCAAAATGAGCAAATAAAGTAAAGATATTTTCCAAAAATTAGCTTAGTAAATTAATAGAATTAAGACTCAAAAGAGTGATTTTGATATTTAGAATAAAAACAAAATTTTTACTATTATTCTTCAGCTTGAAAGTTTAAAACTAACCGAAAAGTATTCCAAAAATATACCATTCGTGCCTTAAAATAAAGATAAAGCTTTTAGTAACAGTATTTAAGTAATATAACACCACAAACAGACTCATAATAACTTAAAATCATATCATTCTTTACTGGCCTAATACGGGTTTCCAGTAAAAGAAATGTAAAAATATTCTGCTGAACGCTATGCTCCAACAGGCAAGGCGTTTCACACCCTGAAACCTGTTGTATCATAAATGATATGAATAGTGTATAAGTTATTTACTTGGTTAGTAAAGACTAATGTAGTGTAAATCATCATTAGTCATATTGTGATGTATTATCACAAACATATTACTACTCTCTCATGTTATGCTCTCTCTCATCTAAGGTGTTCTACACCCTAAACATGAGCCTGACAGGTGAGGTGTGTGAAAGTAGATTCATATATGCTACCTTATACCATCAATTCCATGTAGATTTGTTTTATGCTGACTAGTAAACAAACAATTCTAATCGGTAAATTTTTAGGATTATACAATGGAGATAAATGGCGAATAAAGAAGGCAAACGTACCACAGTCTTCATATTCGAAAACATCGTCTGCCCACGAACTGGTGCAAAGGACCAATATGGAAAAAACTAGAAACTTTCCCATTACTCAAGCTAAAAAAGAACAGTGAAAACCTCTAACCTAGTGTGGAAACTTATTGTTTTATATTTCAATCTCTAGTGGCAAGACCTTCAATGTACCACACAAGTTCCTTCTGTAACTCCGGTTACAGATAATAAGCCTTGGAACATTAGAATATGTTTGTTGTAGATCCGTGAGAACCCACAAGCTGTGATTATGATAATTCAATAATATCAGGTTTTTATGATATCGACAAATACATATAGCGGTTTGCCGTGCCTGTCACTGATATAACTTGTACAGATATATTCACACAAAACCGTCTCAGATTCGCTTTCTTACTACGTCATTAAACCACTGGTGACTAAGGTGTGAGAGATGTTCATTTCATTAACCACTAAATTAGTGACTTTATTCCGTTCACTATATATATATCGGTAGGAATCCATGCATTTTCAATTATCATTACTCTTACTTTGTGTCTGAAAACGCTCTTTACATGTAAAATTTTAACACTTTTTAGAGTGTCCATTTGTTTTGTCCATTTCTCGAGGATAGAAATCACAAACACGAAGCTTTCTCGTAATACTAGTCTTCGGTTTTATAGTCGTTGTCAGATTTGTTGGACTTAGTCACTCATCTTTTTTTTTGTGTTATTGATTACGTTTTATTTCTTCCATTTATTATTATGCGGGTCAAGATGAACCCGCATTTAAGCAACTGTTCTGTTGCTTCTTTCTTTGATTCATAAACACCAGTCAGCACCATCGAAGAAACATTGCATTCCGCTAGAAACCAAATGCTTCTTTTAATTTCAACCTTTCCCCCTTCCTTGTTTCTCTATTTCAGTATTTCTACCATAATAGACTGAATGCGGGTTTGCTGTGTCAATATTTCATATTGCATAATTAATAGCTATAATAGTTCCTGGTGTTTCTTTGCAAATATTTGCAGACGATCTTCTTTTAGTTAACTGCTGTCTTGGTGTTGTAAGCCGTTTAACTTATTATTTGTGGCAAACACATTTCCAGTTCTCCATCAGCATCAGTCTCATTTTCATCTGAGCTTATGTTAACTAACATTTTCATCAACAGATAAAATGTCTTCTTTCCTTTAAATATTTCCATGTAGTCACTACTCCCAAACTCGTAGCCACTTTCAGAATTGGAATTTTTACTCACAGTATTTTTGGCTCTGAAACTCATTTCACCCACTGAAAGTTTATTAGAGAAGATATTCAAACGAACGCTGAAACCGGAATGAATTGTACACTAGAAGTGCCAGTCTTTGTTACATGTGAGAGATAGCTCAGCATGATGCAATAACAAAAATGATTCAGTATAATACCGTAACAAGATGATCCAATATGATGCAATACAAAGAATGACACAATATGATACAGTAACAATGATGACCCATGATGATGCAATATAACAAGATGACTCATTATGATGCAATAACAAAAATGACTCAATATGATACGCTATAACAAGATGACTCATTATGATGTAATAACAAAAATGTTTGTTTGTTTGTAATTAAGCATAAAGCTACACAATGGGCTATCTGTGCTCTGCCCACCACGGGTATCGAAACCCGGATTCTAGCGTTGTACGTCCGCAGACATTCCGCTGTGCCACTGGGGGGGGGCGACAAAAATGACCCAGGATGACACAATGACAAAGGAAACTCAGTATCATGCAATACAAAAGATGACACAATAACAAACATGACCCAGGATAATACAATAACAAAGATAACTCAGTACGATGTAAAAACAAAGATGAATCAATATGATACAGTAAGGTAGTTGCTAGATACAACATTGAAAAAAGGGGTAAAATTGCTTATTTTCTATATAAGATATCTGTGGGGCTCCAGCCGTAATAAATGGGATTAATTGTAGTATTGGTGATATTTTTGTTTTCTATGCAACCCTTATATTATTAAGGACCACATATCCAATAAAGTCATGGACCCACGTGTAAAATGAGGTTCTGAGAAAATGGGACGTGAACTATGAATCCGAGGATTCACAGTCCAGACGCACTAATTATTAGGGTACACTGGCGCAGGTAAAAAAGTACAATGACGTTTTTAATATCTATACCACGTTGTTCTGGAGCAATGTTTCGATTGGTTACGCATTAGCTATCGTGTATGGTTAGTTAGGTTATAAATTGCACTGACTAGTACGTTTTAATGTAACTTCATAAATGTTGCCTACTTAGTAATACTCTGGATTTGATCGGGAAATTGTTAGGATTTTCCAGATTTTAGTAAAAATATTTGATGACTTGTTGATTTATGTCATTTCTCATTATATAGCTTCTAGAGTTTTTTAAAAATATTTCTCGAGGTGTGTTTCTCATTTTTTACATTCCTGTTTACATAATCTCCAAAGGCTCCAAATATTCTTATTGCCATTAGATTCGTTGTTTTCAAACAATAACCATGAGATCCACGAATACAAAATTTTGTCACCCTGTAAGTCTATGATTTTCGAACAGTCGTCACTCATTTCATGACTTCCAAATATAATTTTTAGCTTTCACTTTTAGATTCGTAGTTTCGTAGCTATAAAGCGTCCGTCTGAGATTCGGTGTTAGTTTGTTGATTTCATACATTAGCTAATTAAAGACGTTCATATAGATAAAGATGTATATACGTCCCATTCGGTGATGCAGCCCCTTTTTTGCGTGTGTAAGGGGGTCTAGAGTGAGGCCCCTACCCCAGTGTCACTCAAGCGTTTGTGAACAACTATTTCGTGTGGCACGATCAGTACATAGTCAATCCAGGAACTTCGATGCAAAGAGTAGTTATATTTCACGACACCACAGTGCATAATCTAGATTCATTCATTTTATACACTTGGTAGAATTGTGGCTTTAGTAGCCAGGAAATGCTTTCGTAGTTCAGTGAGCAATAACTTGAAGCCACATATTTGTTGGTTGAAACAGACGCGCAATTGAAAAGGTGATCTTCCTTCATGGTTGACCGCAGGTATGTTCCTTAAAAAATGACCAAACTTTTTTCGCAGTGGCTGTTCGTACGTGCTCGTCCTCCGACTTTCCCGATCTAAACTTATGTTTAAAAAATCGCAGTGTTTCGCCATTATATCTTATTAAATGATGATTTTACACATTTTTTAAAATTTTATTTAGCAGAATAATAAACACAAATAAAACCAAGCTGTAGAGCCACTGTTTGTGTTCCTACTAAAAAAAAAAGATATATCCTTAGGTTAAAAACTTAACATTTGTAAAGTTAGACATCTTAGAACATGTTACAGTTGTTCTTAGTTGTGTTTTTGACTGTTAGGTTAACAAAAGTATGTCATCGTTGTCTGTAATAACCATGACAAAACGTATTTGGATGTTAATTTGTTACTGACAAGTGCAAATTAAACTGCGTTCATGAAGGTATGATGAACATATTTATGTTTTTTTTATTCCATCTTGGTGTATAACAAGCACGTTTGGTTTTAATTTTAAGTGGCAAAACGTTGTACCTTTGATTATATTGTACTTTATGTTTCTTCGGGTACATATATTTGTTAAAATTAAATGAAGAAGACTTGATTTGATGCAGTGATATATCATTGTTTCTCCACCTATCGCTAATATATAACAGTTTGACTAAATTATACAAGCGAAACATTGCGACTGTTTAAGTACTGTTGCAAGCATTTTAATGACAGTTTGGACATGAGTAAGGTCAGTTTCAGATGGGTCCCAGGAATGTTGTCACCTGAGCAGAAAAGGAGCCGAGCTGATGAAAGCCAATAGGTCACCACTTCGACCTAGAGACAAAAATGCAAAGTTTGCAATGGAAACACCCAAATTCACCCACCCCAAATAACTTCAAGTCACAACACTCTGCTAGGAGAGTCATGACATCAATTTTTTGGAATGCCAAGGCCGTTTTCCTAGTTGATTATTTGGAAAGGGGTCAAACCATTACAAGAGATTACCTTGCATCCTTAATCAACAATTTGCATCAAGAAATAAAAGAAAAGACAAGAGGATTGCTGACAAAAAGTGTGCTCTTCCATCAGGACAGTACCCCATCTCACAAACCGCGTCTTACTTTGAACGCTATCCATAACGCTGGCTTGAAATTATTCAATCACCTCCCTTACTCACCGGATTTAGCTCCAAGTGACTTTTTTTTTATCTTCGCTAACCTTAAAATCTTGCTGAAAGGTCGAAGATTTCAGAGTAATGATGATCCCGTACATATCGTACAGTCATAGATTGAGGACCAAGAAGAAAAATTCTTCCATAATGGTATAAAGTCTTTAGTTCTTGCAGAATGGTATAAAGTCCTTAGTTCTTCCAGAATGGTATAAAGGCCTTAGTTCTTCCAGAATGGTATAAAGGCCTTAGTTCTTCCAGAATGGTATAAAGGCCTTAGTTCTTCCAGAATGGTATAAAAGCCTTATAGCACCGCTGGCGGAAATATATAGACTCAGGAGGAGATTATTTTGAAAAATATATCATAGTTTAACCAGTGTCTCTTTTCTTTATAGGTCGGGCCACGAACTTTTCGGACACCCCTTATATAAGTTAAATGCGCACAGGCATCACGGTTGTACGAGTAGCTGAGGGAAATCGAAGTATCGGCACCTACGAATAGCCATTGCGAAAAGGTTTATAGTTATTTTTATAAAAACTACACCCCCTTACCAAAGGTGGATGGGGGGGGGGGTAGCAAATAAATTATTTAAAATAAATCAAATGTATTATTTAATTTCAATTTGGTTGTGCTTTAATTGAAATAATTATTAATGAGCCTCGTGAAGCTCTCAAAGAAATTTGAGGCCCAAGGTATTTGCCCCTCTCCCCTTCCTGTATCTACGCCACTGGTCCTATTTGCTCGTGAAACAAGATAAACATTTCAACAACTCAGGGAAAAGTAAATTATCATGGCTTGTATAATCTAATCAGAGGAATCGTATTTACCTTTTGAAACATTCGCCCGTTACGTAATTTTTACATGGTGCTATACAAGCGTCAAAGTCTTTTGCTTATCGTTATAATTTTCTTATGTAGATGACGGTAAAGTAGCTCAGTGCAACATACGAGTGTCTATTCC